CAGAGGCCGGCCTCGTTACTAGCACAGCCGCTATTGCGTGTTGCTGACCTAAGGGCATGGCAAGCCTGGTGGCAGGGGCCTTGTCGGTGCTGCCCTCGTCAGAGGGTTTGGAGGGGTTTTGCATGTGTGCTATGGGCTGGACCTAGTCAAAATAGCATTTAAAATGTATATGTGCCTTTTATGGGGAGGAAGGCCTATCTTAGTCCTAGAAAAAATGACTCTGATAACATTTGTGGGTGAAAGTGTCTTAAAGGAATGTGTTTCTACTGCTTTTGTCTTAATGCTGTTGCTGTGGCAACCTTTGGCCTTTTTGAAAAGGCAGCTGTTATGTTGCCATTGTTTTCAAGTCAAAGGGTGGCCATCTGATATGGACAAGCATCTCTTGTTTTGAAGTAATAGTCCAAGTTCTTAAGTTTTTTGACTTAAACTTTTGTGGTATAAGCTTTAAGGGTTTACCCTTTGCTTCTTTTTTTAGGCTAGTTTCTTTTATCTACTTCTCTTGAAGCCTGACTAATAAGCAAGATGTCTACTAATGAGAATGCCAATACAGCTGCTCGCTTGAACAGGTTCAAGAACAAGGGAAAGGACACCACAGTGAGTATTTTGATGCAACAAATATTTTAGTAGCCATTGTCTCTCTAAAGAGCCTTTCTACTTGTAAAAGCCATGAACTAATCAATGCATGTCCTCCAGGAAATGAGAAGGCGGCGTATTGAAGTCAATGTAGAGCTGAGAAAAGCTAAGAAAGATGACCAGATGCTTAAAAGAAGAAATGTTAGCACTTTACCAGATGATGCGACTTCCCCCCTTCAGGAAAATAGGAATAATCAAGTAAGTAGGTACCTAACTGCAGTGACCCATATTGTAGTTCCCTTCCTCAAGTGGCTTGTTAATGTTTGTGATACTTGTGTTCCCCTGTTAAAACGCTTTAAAAGATACTTCAGGCAGTTGTGTTTAAGCCCACTGTAATACTGGTGTGAAACACTTCAAAAATGCTTTCTGTAGTTCAAATGTAGATAAAGCAATAGCTGATGAGGGTTTGGAGATCATGCAGTGATGCAACTTATTTTCTACAACTGCTTGCTCTATTAAGTGGCAGTCTTCTCATAGTATTGTATACTGTAACTATTTCTCGTACAGGTTTCAGCACACTGGTCAGTTGAAGAAATAGTCAAAGGAGTTAATAGTAATAATACAGAGCTTCAGCTACAGGCTACTCAAGCTGCCAGGTAAGGAATTTAGAGGTAACTGATTCACCTGTGCAGGCCAGTAACTGGATAAGGTAAAAGGATTAGCTAATGAACCTAAGCCTCTGCCTGTGGCAGCAACTGTGGCTCTCTTGATTAAGGCATTTATTGAAATATAGTTTAGTAAACTTTAAATACAGTGTTTTGATAAGTTTCATTTGGTCCCATGCATGTTTTTAACAAAACCATGTGGGTTATGGGTTTTTAAAGAGCCTGACCACTTCACCAGGAAGTAGTAATTGATTTCAGGTGGCTTTGAGGCAGAAAAATAAGCGGTAGGCCATTTCAGATTTGTAGAGTAATAATAAAGTTACTTTATTCTGATAAAAAGATCTTTAAGCTGTCCACATCTGACTATGATATGATGTTTGCTTGCAGTGATCTACCTTGGAATAAAGTACACACAAAACTTAGTATGCTTAGAACTCCAGTCATTATGATCTAGAAAGCAATGATGAAAGCATTATGATCTAGTTGCTTCTGGTAATCATTACCCTACTGTCTGCTGAGACACCTCTAGCAGTTCAGATATGTTATGCCTCTTGTAGCTCTGTTTTATTTCAGAGCCTGGACAGAACCTCTCAAAGTGAAGACATGGCAGAAGCAATCTTAACGAGAAGTTTTAGATGCTGGTGTTGAGCTTGTTTGTAGCTTTGCTAAATTTCCCCTTCAGGTCTTGTTGCTTTGCCTTCTCTGAATACCTTGAAATCTTTTTTTTTTTTTTTTTCAACATAGGTCTCTTTGGACTGACTAGATAGAATCTGTGTAGATCTCTGCAGGTGAAAATAACGCTTCCTGTTTGTCTTCCTCCTTAGGAAACTCCTCTCAAGAGAGAAGCAGCCCCCCATAGACAATATAATTCGTGCTGGTTTGATTCCAAAGTTTGTCTCCTTCTTGGGGAGAGCGGACTGTAGCCCTATTCAGTTTGAATCTGCTTGGGCACTTACCAACATTGCTTCTGGCACATCAGAACAAACAAAGGCAGTAGTAGATGGTGGGGCTATTCCAGCCTTTATTTCACTGCTGGCCTCTCCCCATACTCACATCAGTGAA